TGCTGAATACACACAGTGCATAAACTCAACTGTTTTCTCTTTTTTGTGGATTGTTGATTCTTACATACATTTGTATTCTGACTGTATTCAGTCCATGGTCCCAGAACACACAGGTAACAATATCGAAAAATACAAAATCCTTACTAAAAATAAAACAAAGTCTATTTTATGGAGCAATAGAAAAGCTGAGAAAATCCACTTCAGAGCATGAGGGTATATGGTATAGTATGAGTTTTAAAATTATCTGGGAGAAACATTTTTCCAGCAAAGGGTCTGTTGAAAACAGAATCATATTATTCCATTTCATGTTCAGAAGTTATGTCTGAGTAGGGGAACAAGTAGTAGGTTATTGGATTTGAACTCTCAAGCAGAATTCATGATGGGAAGGGCATTTGGAGTTCAAAGATGGATTTGCCAGATACAATTACACCTGCTATTTCAACTCTTAAAAAACTAATCTTTGATTCTAAATTATAGACAGCATCTGGTGTCCTAAATATTTGTGTCATAGCAGTGCTATTGAAAAGTCACTGAGCTAGTTATAGGAGTAGCACTCCCTTTCCTTTTAAATCACAAAACTCCAGACTAATTTACTTATAAATGTGAAAATAAAAATGAGATATAACAATTCTTTTAAGTGCAGATATTGCACGTTCAGATATAGCATCCACATTTACTTCTGCTATACTTTGGGTACATAACATTTTTAGTAAGGTGCATTCAGAAAGATTTTTTTTTTAATAACTGTTTTTTTACATCATGGGCTAAACATTGAAGTGCAGTAACAGCTGTATACATCAAAAGAGCAAGCAGGATTTGGGCCACAGCATTTAGAATTATGAGCTGAAAAGTAAATATTAAATATGTCATTCTGTTAGTTTTAATCCTTCATCTCAGTTTGCACATCTAGGCATCATGCCAGAATTAAGCCTAGGAGGCACTGAATTGGAGAATAAACAAGCATACGTTCTTTGATAGAAGGGAAGCCGCAGAGTAATTTGTTGCTCTGCAAACGCAGCAACAAATCATGAGATTCTTATGCTATTGAGGTGACCTGATCTGCCAATACCAGGGCCAGGAGAGCAGAAGCATGTCTCCATCCATTCCCTCCCACCACCCACCTTTGCTTGTTGATGGGAAGTATGTGGACATACTGTGTCTGGTTTGTGGCACACACCTAGAGCCTGTGTGTGTGTTGTCCAGACAAAGGTGAATGTGAGGCTGTAATTCCAGACCTCCATCTGCAGCTGAGAAATTTGAGTTTTTGCCTATGTGAGTTCATATTGTATCCCATATCTTGCTGTTTCTCATCCATTATGAACTGTATGTAAAACAGGCAAATCTTAACAGTACACAGAAATACAGGAGAGGCAGCTTTGATGACTGTGACAGGTTGCAGTCACGCTTCTCTAAAGTCGTTGTGCTACTGTTTGGTGTCATCATCTTATAGACCTTTTGTACAATACCCTGCATTTAACTCTCAACTTCTATTGAACAGGATGGTTTACGAAGATTATCGGGGAATGAATACATACTGTCAGCAAAACGTAAGTTTTAATTTAGAATCATAGAATCATAGAATCATTTAGGTTGGAAAAGACCTTTAAGATCATCGAGTCCAACCGTTAACCTA